TGAATTTGTATAAGTCCAGAATAAATTCAAGCCAAATACGTAGCATTGCCTGACGAACAGTCTAATCGAGATCTAAGATTGCAGAAAATTCGTAATTCGAACTCACCGTAGATTTCTAGCACTTGTATCCTCTGTTTGGTCATGGAATTCAGCAATTGGAAATAAGGCAGGCGGTGGTCAAAAATAGAAATATTCTAGTGGATAGAGGTTAAGCAGGAAGACGAATTTAAAGTCGACAGTTAATCTTTTCTCGCATACACGAGTGGATAAGTTACAAACCGATGTGAGTTCGTGTTGCCTTGTGGCTATACTCACGAATGGTTGACATTTCAACAGATATATTACACAGGAGCATTTACATGCTGCTATTGCTTGTTAAAGAACCATGATAGTCGATTATAATCGTAGTTGACTAGTTAGTTCTATCGACTGAACTAGTTGGTTGAGTTTAAATACTATTCAACATTGACATGAAGGAAAGAAAGTTCACAGTAACAGATTAACATAGGCGATGATAAAAATGGGAAAGTATAAGTATAGATTGCGATAATAAAGGTTATAATGATAGGTTGCGTTATCCGCAGTCTTGTCCGCCAGTGTAGATCACCAGCGTGGATGATATATGTCGAAATGATTGGAGGCTTATTCGAGTTAGACGTGAGTGGTGTGACAAACTAGCTAACGTCGAAGTCACACTTCGCGGTATGCACCTTACATGGATTACCCCATTGACGTATCAAGGTACTATAGATGCTTTGAAGACTGTACAACACAGAGGACGTTATTACAGAAATATATTAGTTAAAGTAGATACAAGCGAAGGTAAGACCACTGCCGCATGGGCCAGTCCATGGCGTACGATTAACTGATGCGCGTTGGCTGTACTTGACCTCGACGAGGATTGACGATTTGTTCGATATTCAATGACCAAACTGTCGGATGATTTGGCTAGGGCTCAGTGGAATTTCGCTGGCCCTACACAGTAATTTAAATAACTCGATAATGATATTCTGGAATCCATTTTAGTGATGTAATATATTATATCCTCCTATGGCCATATATTTTCCATATAACTATATACACGAATGTAAAGCTTAAGTAAATGATTTCTCCGAAAAGAAAATTCCTTAAATTCTATAAAACTAAATAAACGCCCATTCTCCTGCATCAACCAAAAGGCTGAGAGAAGAGGATGACTTCTTAAATTATGGGTAGGTTGTAGTACTTCATCATAACTAGAAGTCGACTATGCTAATGGTCGGAAACTCCTAAACAATTTTAGCAATGTATATACTGTAGAGACGCCCTTCCCTTCCTCTCATACGAGTGTAACAGCTTAGGTCGATTGGTTAAGAGTTGATCTCAAGCAACTAAGCATATGTCAAAACAGCATATTTCAGATATTTATTCACTTCTTTATTCTGTATAGGCGTTATATTTCTAATTATCTTATATTGTATGTTGAGAGGCTTTGTTTGTCTGAGTAAGGAATCCCACGCTCCACTGTGACTGCGCGAATAACAAAATAAAGACCTATTTGCCTACTAGTCTGGTTTCTTCTATTAACAACACGAGGGTTACCTATAGGCACGAAACTGGTGAGCCCTACCACGAGAATAATGAATTGAATAAATTAGAGTTTGTCGTATGGCATGGATCGACCATGCAGGCGTGGTCCCTGCCAAATGTTATCTTATATTTGTTATTCATATTAAATATATTGTTCCATCTGTAGACTAAGATTGTTCCCTATCATGTATTGGTAATCGTTACGATGCAGTGAGTTGGTGTAGTTGATGATGTGACTTACACGTATGATCTTAAAGGTTAGGCAGTTATATCATGAAAAATCTATAATTTTAGGTTTAGGTCTATTATTAGAACAGTGCTAATATCATAGTAGAACATAATTCTACACATGCACCTATACGCACGCTGGAAACTGTGACCATTAAAAACTAGATCTCTGGTCTACTAAACGAGCTTTATGAAGGCAAATCCATAGCACTTGATGAAATGCATCCTAGGTTACTGAAGCAGCACGTCTTTAGAACAGGTTTTCAAGTGTCTCACTAACTTATTATTAACCTGTGGTATTTGTTTTTCTCTAAAACATCAAAAGTTACCTATAGTATCGGCCCATATTGACTTCTGTAAAGCTTTGAGAAAGTTACTCACAACCGGCTGTTATATAAATTAAGTAATATAGAGGTTGGAGGCGATTTATTCATGTGGTTAAAATACTTTATAGTTAGGCGCCAACAAAGAGTTCGCTTGAACTCAAAGTTGTTTAGCTGAAAAACGGAGTCTTTCGGATTACCTCAGGATACATTTTGAGGGCGAGTGTTCTTCCTCCTGTAAGTAATTAATATTCCTAGTCTTCTATCACTATGCGTTTTGTTGTATGCTGAGGGTGTCAAGATATGAAGAGTGATTAAAAGGTAAGGAGATAGTTGAGAGCTTCAAAATGACCTGTAGAAATTATCTGTCTGGTCTAAAATTGGCATTTGCCGATAAATACTTTGAAGTGCATTATTGATCACATAAGTACAGATATGTAACAATTAATGTTGATTGGTTAAGAGTTGACTTTAAACAACTAAGCATATTAGAACAACACATATAAGCTTATATGTGTTTTTCTAATTTTCACAATGGGAATCTTTAATAAACTAAGCATATGTCAAAACAGTAGAGTTCAATATTCATCCACTTCCTTATTTTCTATAGGCGTTATTGATCCCATTATCTTATATTGAATGTTCAGAGGCTTTGTTCGTTTGAACAGGTAATCTCATACTCTACTGTGAATGTGCGAAGATCTAAATAAAGACCTAATCACTACTAGTCTGGTTTCTTCTATCAATAACGCGAGGGTTACTTACAGGCACGAAAGATACATGTGCTGCAAATAACATACCAGCGGGTACTCCCAATTCCGTAAATAGAAGAAACCAGAATGTTAGTGAATATGTCTTTATTTATGATTTAAAATAGAATATGTGAAGCGCGAGGTCATCGTCTTTATACACACGAAGTTTTTCAGTATCCAATATAAAATAAATGGAAATTTACTGTTAATACAAAATAAGGATGTGAATGAATACTCGAGCCTTAATGTCCTGGAAAACTGTCAGCTAGTCAACCTTAATTGTTACAGAAACACGGCGAAGTAGGAGTCATAGTAAGCCAAGAGTTTGAAACTACTTCACACTGACGTGTAATAGCCTCCAAGGGTTTTAGAACACTATGGCCAATACGTAGGGTCTTTACCATGTCGAAACTAAAACATTTTTGAATTTGTATACAGCAAACCCTTGCAAAAAGTTTGACGAACCACAAATAAGCTGATTCCTGGAAAAAAGAGCTCCTGTGTGACGCTCGACTGACTAAACTAAATCTATTTCCATTGTCGTATCGAAGAGCGAGAAGAGATTTTGTTACAGTTTTCAAATTACTTATTGATAAATTTTCACCTGATATACCCTCGTTTTTCTTGTGCTTCAAACAGAAAATTTACGAGAACATTTTAAAACGGTCCTCAAGCCCAGAACAGATTATATGTCAGCATACTGTCGACTTTCCCGTCGAATGATCAAACAAATGAAATTCGTTAGCTCAGCGCTTCTTTGAAGCCTCATGTATCGAGGCCTTCAAAAAAGGTTAGATAAACTGAAGGACCACAATTACCAGAGCTAATACAAGTCGCCTAGCCTTCTATCATTTCCAGAATGAGACCAAAATTATCTGACTAGTCGTTTTTTCGAAATAAATTCTTTAATTTATCTTTGTCGCCGTCCACACTATCCTCAGAACATAAAAGTTTGATATGTTGCTGAGATATTTAACCAAATTTAATTTTCATTAAAGAGGTGCGAAGCTATAAAAAAATAATTACTGGCTTATCAATGCTTTTTTTTCAAATACGCTTCATTTTATGGGACTGTCTATACTTCTAGAAATCAGGACATGAGGAATGCCATACTAATAAAGTTCTCTACTTCGCTGGTGATTTTAATAGCTGGCTATGTACTCAACTTCAATGCATCCTTTGTAAGCTGGAAAAATTTAGAAGTAGCTCCATCGAAATTGTCGTTTGATGGCAAAGTGTAAAACCACAGTCACTCAAGCTCTATTTCAGAACATTAATGATTCCACCAGACATAACCTATGAAAATATTCGTCCGTGTTTTAATGATTATGAAGGAGAGCACACCTCAGTGATAAAGACTAGAGCAGAACAGGGGCAATGGCAGGCCATTGTCAGATATTTTTACTCAGTAGCCCCTTTTAACCTAAGGACTAGACCGAAATACAAAGTCCCAATATCTGCTACTTTACTGTGGATTTTGGTCAAGACAACGTGCTAAAGACCCGTAGAAATTTAAAAACAAAAAACATCAACCGGACGGAATGAACTATACCCTAAAATTTTGAGAAAAATGTGATTTGATCTGGAGCGTATCCAACGGCGAGCCACGAAATCACTTCGGGGACTCAAATTTGAACCTTACGATGAGCGCCTCCAGTCACTTGACTTTTACCCATTATAGCATAAGCGTCTTAGAGGTGACCTTCTAATGGCTCACAGTATCTTTAACACTCCTGGATATCCTCTTAAACACCTACTTAAGCTTAGTCCCAACACTAACCTAAGGGGTAACACCCAGAAATTAGAGATACAACATAGTAGAACGGACTGCAGGCACAACTTCTACTCCTTAAGAGTTGTCAAATGCTGGAATTCGCTGCCGTCTGAGCTAGTCCAAGCGCTTTTCCAGGAATCCTTTAAGAGACGACTTGATCTATTCTTAAGGATTAAGGATAGTATCTTACTATGATTTACCAATTTCTTTTTTTCTCTTTTATCGTTAATATACCTAGGTTCTTGCCTAGAGGTATTGGTGATCTCCTGCTACTAGACACGGAAGCCTGTTAAGCGAAAGCTTCTTCTATTCCGCGCGCAACCATTTGAACCATTTATTGTTCACTTAGTGTTAGTTCGAGGCGTCGTTCAAGGGTGTGTCGGAGCGCAATAAATAAGATTTTCGCATGTGTAGGTCATCAGCAGGTTCGTCTCTCTATTGTTTTACTTTTGTGTAGCAATCGGATCTGTCTACAAATTTATTAACTGGGCTCGACATAATTTTATGGTATTTTTAGTTTCCAAGAATAATTATAGGTTGATCGAGCTACATCACTTGTCTCAGTTAATACCTCTGGGAAGTTTCAGCTTTTTGTAAAATAGGCTGTCACTAATTAATTAATATCATGTGCTCAAGTTAGGCACTGTTGTTGTATTGTGTTTCATTACATCTCTCAAAGTTTCGAAAATACATATCCTGACTAACGTTACTTGAACAGGAAGAATTATGTATAGTTTATAACAAGTTATTTCTCAGGAAGTATAATATCTTCACAAAGTGTTAGAAATGTATGTGTTGGTGTGCAGTTTGAGGTTGCAGCACGCTTGATTTTCCTCCAATTTCTGAGTTGCTCAAGTATCGTTGCACCAGTGTACAAACTAATGATATTTCATACCGTTTCGTTATGCTTTATACGTGGGAAAATAATAATCTGGTTTGCAGCAAACCCTTAAAATGAAGGGTCTAAAATAATCTGAGGAGTTCTTAAACCTGTAAAAATAATACATAAAGAAACTGGATTACATTTTTTTACACCTTAATCAATTTTAGTCTGATCAAAGAAGTTTATTGGATTTGATAAAAGTTAACCACTGACACCAGTGTTACAATCCCAAATGACATCTGCTAATCAAGGTTTCAATGTTTATTTGTTTGCACATGTAATAAATAGCACATGGTCGAACGTACAGATGTTTTGTATTCAATGGATTGTAACTATCTAAACTAAGTTCATGCAACACCAGTATCTAATGTTCTACTTGCACATTGTGATTGTTCAACTACTAATGTGGGATGAAAAGCTCCTTTTTAAGTTTTCAGTTTAAAATTGTTGACTAATACATCGAAAAGTTTTAAAGGCGCTCATGTGAAAGTTCAAGTGTGGGTCAGTGCTTTTCTGTATGTTACAGAGGTACCATCTGTTCTTTTCCTCAACGCCAATGATACATTCCTGAATAGTGAAGCTTATGATTCCCATGAGCCCATATATTATATTGTTTATTAAGTTAAAGACTAAGGAGAATCTGCGTAGTAACTAGAATATAAGCTTAAAGCATGTTGGCTTGTCGAGATATTTGTAGGTGTTTTAGTACAGTAATATTGATGTGATTATAATACACAAAACTTTCGTGGAAATAATACATTTCTATCGTTTAAAGATCTCCATCACACTAAAAGACTAATATTTGAATGAAGAATATTCTTTTAGATAAATTCTCTTCAGGTTCTGCAATTTTATATCAAATTAATAATCCGAAAAATGGCCAGGTTAAGGTGAAAGCACATCGTTTAAAGCATGTGCACTTAGGATTGTCAAACAAAATAGAATAAAATTGTTAATGTCGATGCGACTCATGTAGAATGTTAACTTAAATCTGCGTATATGTTAAGTCTTAACTAAATTCACATTCTTTCAACAATGTACTTTACCCTTAACCTGGCCACTTTTCGGATTATTATTATTATTATTATTTGAACACATAAATATTGGTACAGGGGGGCACCAAATATATATGCGCCACACAAAACAGTGATAATTAGAAGAGAAGGAGAAAAGAGAAAAAAAAAAGTAATGAACGTGGGGAATTATAAAAAAAAGAAGAGAGAGAGAACAATGGTGGGGGAAACGGAAAGGTACAATCAGAACAGATCTTTCAGTTAAGGAAGAATACGACCACCTTTTTATGAAGAAAGTAAAAGAAGGTTACAGCAGGATCGCCACTGGCTTCTATTCTGAGCCATATCTGATAACGTCTCTAGCCACTGCGTTACACCATCTCTCGGACCCCAACCAGGGAGTCGTGAAGGACCAACATAAGCTAGCCCTTTGCAGCTTTCTTTCATACCACGACACCATGTCATATACTGACCACCTCTCCGCTTTTTCCAACCAGTCTCAGAGTCGGCAAATAATGCACGACGAGGAATTCTCTGGGACGACATTCGTAGAACATGTCCAAGCCACCGAAGTCGGTGTTTCAAGATGGTGACACCAATTTCATTATCGTCTCTGTGCCCGAACACTCGATGCCGAACCTCTGCATTACTGACATGGTGTTGCCACTGGATGCCAGCAATCCTTCGGAGGCAACGATGATCGAACACAGAGAGTCGTCTAACATCCTCAACTCGGAGAGGCCAGGTTTCACAAGCATAGAGCAAAACTGCTCTCACCGTCGCGTTGTAGATCCGACCTTTTACAGCCAGACTAACATCACGAAGGCGCCAAAGATGGCCCAGATTGGCATAAGCCGCTCTGGCTTTCACTATACGTGTATTGATCTCATCACTCACGCCACCACCAGCACTTATGCAGCTACCTAGATACACGAACTTCTCGACCGCTTCTATCTGCTCACCATCCAGAGTGAGTACAGGATTAGAATCCTGCCAGTCTTGTAGAAGTACTTTGCACTTCGAAGGTGCAAAGCACATACCATACCTACGGACACTGATTGCCAACTGATTAAGTGCGGATTGCATGGCTTGGGCATTCTCACACAGTAAGACAATATCATCCGCATACTCAAGGTCGAGAAGTCTTTCTCCAGGCAACAGATCCACACCACCATTACTTACATCCGTCAGAGCTGTTTCCAGAATGTCATCGATGGCAAAGTTGAAGAGGAATGGTGAGATTGGGCAACCCTGCCTAACTCCACTGCTTGAATGGAATAGTGGAGAAAGGTGGTTGTATGCCCTCACTCTACCTGAGGTGTTTGTATATAAGGCTTTTAGGATGTTAATAAACTTCTCAGGCACACCCCTCTTCAATAGACAATCCCAGAGAACAGTTCTGTCCAACGAATCGAAAGCAGCCTTGATATCAAGAAACACTACGATTGTTGGCCTTTGATAAGTATGGCGGTGTTCTAACACTTGGCGGAGGGTGAAGATATGATCAATACATCCTCGACCAGAACGAAACCCAGCCTGCTCCTCGCGAGTCAATCCTTCTCGGGTTCTGAACAACCTACGAAGTATGACGGAAGCCAATAGCTTGGACGCAATCGGAAGTAGACTTATCCCCCGATAGTTGTTACAGGAACAACGTGAACCCTTTTTAAAGATAGGGACAACTATCGACTCATTCCATGACGTTGGTACACTCTCTAGTTCCCAGATCTTTGTAAACAACGTCGTCAGTCCTTTAGTCAGAAAGTCACCACCATCTTTAAAAAGAGCCGGAGGTAAGTCGTCTGGGCCTGGTGATTTGTAACGTTTCAAGAGTTGGAGTTCCTTGCGGACTTCCGCCTCATTTGGTGGATCAGTCGTCACCGGCCATGGAGGGCAGGACAGTCTGACCGATGTTGCCGGAGCAGCAGGCCAGTTGAGCTGCCCTTCAAAGAATTCTGCCCATCGTCCAAGACGTCGATGGATGTTAGTGATTGGCGTTCCGTCATCCTCGCAGATTGTTTCGCTCACACCAGACTTCTTGCTGCCGGTGGCTCGGATGAGTTGGAAGAGCTTCCGGTAATTACCAGATGCAGCTGCTGCTTCCAACTCACTGGCACGCTCCGACCACCAGGTTTCTCGGTCCTTACGCAAGCTTTGCCCGATTTCATTACGTAACAACCTTCGTCTGTGGTCAAACTCACGGTCACCCGGAGTAGACCGACGGGCTTCAATCAGTTGTAAGGAACCAGAAGAAACCCAGTGCTTGTAAGCGGGACGTTTCGCAATCCCACAGCAATTGCAACCAATGCTCATCTATACTTTTCGGTGTAATAGTGGCTAGCCTAGAAGCTAGCTCGGCTCGGTACTTACTAGCAACAGAAGTTGCAGCCAGCTTGCTAACATCAATCCTGTGGTGGCGGTCACTTCGTTGTCCACTGAAAAGTAAGGTAAGATTGGCGCAGACCAGAGCATGATCAGATTCCAGATAGGTACTCCAAAAGGAGCGGCAGTCTTGTACACAACCGCGCCAGCGGTAGCTGATCGCGATGTGATCAATCTGAGTCCAGGCTTGAGATGCAGAAGGGGGACGCCAGGTGGCACATCGGCGATGACTGTGCCGAAAGTTAGTGCTAGCCAGAAACAGGTTGTGGTCTGTGCATAGTTGCAGTAGACGTTCCCCGTTATCTGTCCTGCGACCAACGAGTCCCCATCGGCCACCTAAACGACTCTCTTCTGTGCCTAGACACCCGACCTGAGCATTCAAGTCTCCAGCTAGTACTACAATATCTGTCGAACGCACTTTCTGGAGAAGAACAGTTAGCTGATGGTAGAACTCATCCTTGATTGCATCCGGGCTGCAATCTGTCGGGGCATAGGCGGAGATGACGAAAAGACATCGTTTCTCACGCCGATTTCTTCTCACTCTGATGGTACTTTCTAATCTAACAGCACATAACCGACTGTTAATGGGGATCCAGTCGACTAGTGCTGCCTCAGCTCTAGCGCTTAGTGCGACACCAACGCCAGCAAGACCAGACGAAGATGCCACAGGGTCCCCGGATAAACGCACGTAAAACAAGCTTTTTGGAGCGACAGATGGAGAGCGAACTTGTAGTACTTCACCAGAGTCTTGAAAACGGGTCTCGGATAGACAACACACATCAATATTAAGACTTTCCAAAGACATTGCCAGCCCTATCTGTTGTCCGACCTGCATAAGTGTGCGAACGTTAAAGGCAGCCAGTTTGAATGGTGCGCGTGGTTTCAGAAAGACTGCTTCAGTACTCTTATTCGATGGTAACATACAATTTTCAAACCAGGCAGTGACTCGAGAACGTTTAGATAAAGCTGAATTTTTACCATAGGCGAGCTGCTGTCTGAGTCGAAACGGATACAAAAAGTAGAAATAGGAGATAGTGAGTAAATGACGTAGTAAATAATAATAATAATAATAATAATAATAATAATAATAATAATAATAATAGTATCAGTCATTTCAATGTTAGTCAGAGAAGAACGAATATTTTCCGTAAGCGAATATTTCATCATGTTTTGGTGTGTGGGCTGAGATACTGCCCGGGTGCCCAAACCGAAGCAGGTGGTTTTCTTAGGGGGCCACACCCCGAGCCTTTGACCTAAAGGTCTAGTCCACAAGGCAGTGGAGCATCGTGAGGAGATGCAGTCCCATGGAAGCCGGTGACCAAAAGTTGGTTCATACGCCATTTGTTCCTTCAGGATACTGGAGCCCATGTGCACCATAGAATTGGGATCCGGTTATAGCGCCGGACGTTCGCTTTTCGTCCTCTCATTTTCGTAAACAACACCCCCGCCACGAGAAGGCAGTGAGTAGGACTTCCCTGGCAGAGGCTGTATACGCGTGGCCGTGTGAGAGTATTTCGAGAGGGAGGGCGAACCCTCCCCGCTCTCGGCCATACCAGGGCATTTGGGGGCACTTTTCGGATTATTAATTTGGTTATATAATTGTAGAACCTGAAGAGAATTTATCTAAAAGAATATTCTTCATTCAAATATTAGTCTTTTAACATTTTTGCTGGATTATTTTCAGAATCGCTATTACGTGCTTTAGTTTATATATATTGAGACCATTCCGAAATTCGGTTGGGGTACAAAACCTGTCTGTCATAGCCAATCGTATTACTTTTGGGACCGATATAGAATTTAGCACTTGTGTGCTCAGTTTGATGAATATCTTTTATAACTGATGTACGTAATGTGACAATAAAACAACATATAACGTACGAACCCTTTCCATACAAACTTTAGTGACATTCAGTTAATATTTTATCCTTTATCTACACGTCGGACTTTTCCTTTCTTCATGCTTCTGTGCAACGCGTAAATGTTTTAAACGTAGACTAGGTTAGTGAATATAGTCTCTTCCATTTATAATACAATAGACCGGCTCATTTCGTGTACGAAGTTTTTGTATTTACATGTAAATGTAACCGCCTTTTCTGTTTTTATTTTATTACAGCCAAAAATACCAATTTAAATACTTAAAGTTGAACTTTGGTCAAATGTCAAAGCTTCTTTTATTAACGCACCCACGCCAGATCATTCTTCCTTGCGATGAAGCTGCAACTCGTTCTGTCATTTGTTATTTGTCTCGAAGCAGATTACCATTCCATGTTGATTATATTTTAAACGCTGATTCGTGTTCTCCTGATCACTTGCTCCCTGTTACTATACTTAATGGTTCTATAGTGACTGGTTACACTTCTTTATGTCTGCGGTTGAGTATTTTGAAGGCCAATAAGGATATTAACGTTAATGGTTCTAAACTTACTTCACGTAGTTTGCGACATTCTTACTTATTTTGGATTTCTGATACATTACGGAATGTAATGCTTTATTTCACCTGGTTTCATGAACCTACCTATTCAAATTTTACTTACGAACGTCTTAAATCTTCTACACCGCGTTTGCTAACTAGATTTATTTCTAACCGAAAACGACAACAACATCTTCATTTTCTGGAATCTATTGGTTGGGATAAAATGAATACAAGTGATATCATGAAAGATATGGAAGCACTTTGTGTTAGCATTGTTGAACTTCTTGGTAATGGCCCATTTTTATTTGAACGTAGTACACCTGGGAAGGTTGATGCCCTTCTGTATGGACATTGGACTGTATTTTGCGAGTTTTCAGAGTATTTCGTTTCATTAAAACCTGTTTTGGATAAATATCCAGCTATCAGCGATCTTGTCAAGCGTGTTGCTAAAATATGTGATCAACCGCTTAGTTGTAATTAAAAATATTACAATCTAATTTTTGACTCATTAGTGTACATAATACCGATTTAAAGAAACTGTTTATGTATCTAGTATTTTAAATACAAACATTCAGAAGATTCTGTTTTTTAGTTTATTTTCAGTGCTGTATGTCCATTAAAAAAATATAAAGCTGTATGTTATTTCTGTTAGTGAATTTATTATTGTTAAGTCTTCAGTTTACTTCTTTATTTGGTAAGTACTGGCATGCCTATTAGCCATGCTGTTGAAATTGAGATGTCTTTTGTGATTAAATGATTTGGAAGTTCTGTTTTCCACTAATTCGATGTATATTGTAATCAGAGTTTGTTTATTAAGTATCATTACCGAGGCTGAACTTCATTTGAAATAAACTGAACATTCGGCTGAGTATATTTACAATAAAGTAATATATTTGTGGTATCTAATCAGTAGAAATGAGAAATTCTGAAGTTTCGTGAATTAGTGTATAACTTCCTCAGACAGTAAATAAATAAGTAAACGAATCAAATTAGCACAAGCTTGTTTTTGCAATGAATTTATACCTTTGGTTTCAAAAAATACATCGCTCGAGATCGTCAAGTTGTGTACTGGCATAAATTTTCATGTAATTATTAAGTATGCGTAAATCTTCAAAGTTTATTGACATTAGTCTACGTGTATCTGCCACAACGTCCTTTATTTGAAAGCATGAATCTCTATACAATGAGTATGTTTTTATCTGACAACGCTTTTACTTACCACTTATGGTCAAAAGTCTCAGTGTGTGAAGCTACCACTGGCACAACTGACCCAAACTAATGTATTCAGGGTTTGTCTAAACTAAGTTAAGAAACTTTAAATCTGTCCTAAGTAAGTTGGTCATCATGCAGCTTATTAACTGTTTGCAGGTCCGTTTATGCTAATTTGAGTTACACGTACTAAATACGTGAAGAATGTTATGAAAATGTGACCAAGCTTGAAACCCGGATAGTCAGCGTCACCGAGTTTAGCTAGTTTTCATCTGAAATCTTTCTTAAATTACTCTAAAAAGCCAGTAGTACTAAAGGGATTTTTCAAATATCTATTGATTGCGCAATAATAAATATACTTATGAACATACTATTCATTTACTTAAAGTATTACAAAGTATAAAATATATTCTCTAGTTGCATCCTACGCATTTTCTGAAACTCATTTAGTCCACATCTTAATCAACACTCAGTGTGTAATATGCCAAATAATTGTGCATGTTACTATACTTTATCTCTTCTGACCGTTGCAGCGGAATCTTGACAAGATTAATTATAGTATACAAAATATCACCTTTTTTCATGAACACTGATCCTTGAATATCTTTAATTTAAAAAAAAACTGTGACTCCAGAGTTACTGTTATTGGTTATTTGTATCAAGAGGTTCACTGCTGAAATAATCAACTATATGGTCTTACATCTAACCTGCCTGCTTCACTTCCAATACATAGCTACTTAGTTGCGTATGCTCGTTATGCTGACATCGAGTAAGGATTCACAACCCTTTCCGTCTACCTTGTCTTTGGTTGTCCACAGTATTTTTATTTCCTTATCCTAGGTTTTTTGGTGTTCCAAAATGCATCGTAATAAACAGTTGTTATTTTCTGTTTGTTGTTTTTTTGTATTTTAAACCCACACCTATATGTTTTTTTTGTAGCAACATGGTTGTCGATTTCACCTACTCCCTTGTCGAAACTCGACAATTAATCAAAACTAAAATTGTTGCATGTATATGGTCGCCGAAGACGGACTTGATTGCTTTAGGTTCGGAAAGTGGATGTGTTTCTGTGCACAGGTAAATTTTGATTAATGCCTATCATTGTAAATGTGACGCTTTTATAATTTATCGACTGTTTTGTAGGAACTTAGTGGTTTGAAATTTTGTCTAACAGTTTGGTCGTAATCAAATATTCGGGCAAACGCAGTCTAATTCCCGTCGAAATATTCGGTTTCTTTTTTACGACTCATACTACAGGTGTGGCATAGTTTCTAATTATGAAATTAGATGATTTCTAAATCAAATAAAATTATGCACTGAAATTCTGCCAAGGAATAAGTGGAATCTACTGCCTAAAGCTATATCATTGTGTCCTTTAATAGCTGGTAAACTGTATGCCACATTTATTTTCTTTACAGTAGGAAAGTACAGCCATAATAACAATCAGATCGGTAGGTGGTCTAGACCATATGATTCGCTTGATAAGTGATCATATTTACACTGTAACATACTTATGTACTGCCGTGTGACTGATGCATTTTGTTCACTTTCTTAGGGTTTCTGGTCATTTTCCCATAACCTAAGTTAAGATTTTGCAGTTAGTACTTGTTAGGAAGGAGCAACCATACAGTTCAAGAATTTTACATTTGTTAGTTGAAGCTGTTTTATACTATAATATACCAATGTTTATAACTAAAGTGATTTATCCATTAATTGAGGTCAAGTGATACCTTGTTCAATTTATTCAAGTATGACTTTTGGTCAATCTGAGTGAAGCTTATAAATAATTTTTGATCTATTTTCGCTGCACAATGAACCCTTACTTGTAGTCTTTTCCCGCTTCAATCCATATTTATCTTTGATCAGTTATGACGAGTGGTGACGGGGATGGAATAAATTGGGACATGTTGTACCAGTTAGTGAAGTGAAGTCATTGTTTGTGTAACGTCTATAACAATCTAAAGACTGGCATCAGAAGTTTACTTGGACGTTAACTGCAAAGTTTTCTCAATTTTCACTTGGTTATGTTTCAGCAAAAGTAAACTGAACATCATAGTCACCAATTTTGACTTCAATCTGAAATTTGGAATAAGATTCAGTGCTCATTGTGACAGGAAGGAAGATTTATTTAAAGTTGAATTAACTAAAGCTTATAGTGTTTTGACAGTTCTTACTCTCTTCAAAAGGTCGTTGAACCAACTGGCATTATTTTAGTCATTTTTCCATTATAATCTTAGGTTAGTGAAAAATATTTATTTATGAAGAGTTATATTGTAGTCAAATAATATGTCTTCATAGTTGCAGTAATTGGTCTTGAACTAAGTACAATAACTTCTAGCTTCAGCTCCGATATTTCGATACTCCCGTTCCCCTTTGTCACATAGCCCTGGCCCTTCTGAAATAAAAATAAAGATTCTGTTTTGTGGGAGTAAAATAAACTGTAATCAAGTTTTTGTGGGGGAGGGGTAGCTTATATTCCCAATCACAGGTCAATTATTATTGTATGATATTTGTGTGATTCGTTGAAACAAATGGTATTGGAGAAAGCGGTTAAATTCACTTTCCACGTACGCTCCTGAGTGTTATGCATCATTGTCCTATCATTGTATTCATTCATATTGACCAGACCGCTATATTCTGAAAACCATGAATTCGGTTTATTAACTTACATCTACTGTTAAATATAAAATTATACATAAGTTTATGTTTTTTGTATTTTTTCCTATTATTACATTTATCTTCGTTTCCATCTTGTTTGTTTTTACGTTCGTCTAGGTATAAAATGACATGTATTTGGGAGTGTGATAAATCTGACCTAGGTGGTGTATCTAATTTGACTTGGAGACCGGATGGCAAAATATTAACAGCTGCATTCTCATCTGGTAAAGTATGCTTCTTTGTTGTTGGTGATGGATTCGTTTTTCATGAGCTACAATTTCCTAGTACAGTTGATTATCTTCTATGGACCAATTATCAAAGTCCAACTACAAACATCAATAATAGTAATTCAGAGATTAACTATCCTAAGAATAATGTGGCTACATACTTTCCAGATGTGAAGCATTTATCTATGTTTAAATCGTATGAACTTGTTGTTATTTAGTAATATGATGATTAAATCTATTTTTTCCTTACAGTGATGTGAACTTCTCATCTTCTGATGTTTGTAAATATGCACAATTACTTAAAGATATCGATGGCAACAAGTATTTTGCAACATATTTATCCTAAATGTTATGAAATTTATGTGTAATTAGTTTTCCTATACTTACAGTTTATTCGAAAAATACGGTTTATTTTTACGGGTTTGGAGTATTCGAAATTGCTGCTTATAATTTACATTCAGCTAATGATACATTGAATCGTACTAATGCATCCAAGGTACTCATTATTATAATTATGATTATTATTTATGTAATAAATATTCACTTCTTTTTAGCTTGTCAGTTGCCATTTATCATCTGAACAAAATATACTTTTAATTGTTGAATCGTTTCTTAATGTCGACGGACAATTTTATGTGGTCTGCCATAAGGTGAGTTGAAAATTATAGTATATACATCATTCTGCTTATAAGTGGCAAAACATGTCATCAACAAAAATATACGAGTAGATTTTTCTACTGTCAGGAATTAAAGAACATTTGTAAATCGATTAACTTTCATAGTTGTTTTTATTCTACCCTTATATTTACCAATGGCGCCTTTTTAGACTATGATTATTTCGTGTTGCTTAATATGGTAGGGGTTTTGTTACCGAACTCTTAAAAAGTCGCTTGTTAGAATTCACTGTTAAAATAACCTAATCTATGCATCCATGCTGTAAACCTACTAGTACTATTTGTTGTTTTTCTAACTTTTCGTTGCTTAGATCCCATGCGATGGATTTCAGAAGTTTGGCTTTCAACTAATGAGACTATCGTCACAGGCTTATTCAATTAAAATTACGAAATCTGTAAGTTTTGGTCACTTATGGAATGCAATACAAGATCCACTTAATTGTAATGATAAAGTAGTGTTATTTTTACTAGTATGGAAATTTTGAGATTGTAGTATTTGTGTATCAGTGTCAGACTCGCACACAGCGCGTCATAACACATTTCCTTGAGGTGTTTTAAATGAGTTTAGTTCTTTATGACGGAAGCTATAACACAACCATCCAATGCTGATCAACCATCGTTATCAATGCAAAAAGATAACTAGTCAATTCAGTTGAATGCCCTAGAAACAAAAGTCTACATTTAATTCGTAATGTTCTATATTTCCTTATTGTTGATATTAACGCGGCTGCATTTAGTTAGTTTCCACTATCATAGGTGCATTCTCGGTAGATTACTTCAGTACTGCCGTTTAGTCACATGTCTAATAGTGAAATTCATGACGCGCTTTACGTTCAATTTATAAATGATTAAATAACTTAAGGGTTGTCTGGACTCAATAGCTCAATAAATCGCCTATCAGCGTTTGAAGTGAAAACTGCTGGGTTCCAGCTTAAACATCAAAGGTGGGTTGCAGATACATTCGGCTGACGAGTTCAGTTCAGAATGAAACGCACCCCCAGGATTTCACTGTAGGTAATATCCAACTTCAGGCCCCAACCTCGAGTAAAGGAGGAGGATT